GGAAGAGTTGACTTAATGTTGTTGGCAATCGTCATTCGCATAAAGTTCAAACATAATCTGTTAGACCTGTCCCAAGCCTTACGGTTTGATTTCTCAGCCTCACTGCTTTGATCATTAATGTCAGCAGGCTTTTCTTCAAGCAGAGCCAAGTCAATATCCAAAACACCTAAATGGAAATTGACTTGCTCACGCCATGCAGAGAAATTCAAACCATTGAATACAGTAACAGAAGAAGCTTGCGAATGAAGAGAGATAGCTGCACAATCATAAAAGCTCACTTAATCAATAGATTCAGATAATACATTCATCAAATATATTGCAGGTCTCCTTTGGGCAAACACAACAATATATATCATTATCATTAATCGAATGTCATTCAACACTTAATGAGAAATTAAATAAACTTCGTCTAACATATCTTTGGATATGTACATACGCTCGACAAAAGATATTATATTTCTCCTTAATGTTTATTAGTTATAGAACATTGATTCACCTTTGGGCAAATCCATAATTTCTAACAACCAATAAACCCATTATCTTAAAATAACGACATTCTCAAGAGAACATAAGTTATATGGCCAAACATTAGAAAATTAATCCGGCCACTTTGGTGACTAACAAATTAATTTTCACTTAATGTCATATAATAAACAGTTGTAACAATAATATTATATGACCGAGCATTAAAAAATTAATTAGGCCACTTTGGTGACTAACAAATTAATTTTATCTTAATGTCATATAATAAAATTATAATCATAAATTATATGACTAAACATTAAAAATTGATTAGGCCACTTTGGTGACTAACAAATTAATTTTACCATAATATCATATAATAAACATCATAACAATAAAATTATATGACCGAATATTAAAAATTAATCAGGTCACTTTGGTGACTAACTAATTAATTTATCTTAATGTCATATAATATCATGGTATTAATCCCTTCAGATTGCATATCAACTCATACATGACATCTTAAGGGGCTAATTAAATCAAAACTGTAAAGAATCTTGATTTCCCATAATATAATTTCATCATCATTAGCTTAGCAGGGCAGTGAAGAATTATTTGATTCAGCAAATAAGAATTCAAACAAAAATTTGTGTAAATTGGACCCTGAACAATTATTCTGACAACCTCATCATACGTGGGTTTACGGAAATTAAAATTAGACAACCAAACCAATCGTTATATCCGAAGGTGTTGATGTGTAATCCCAAAACAAAATTCATGGGTTATTTGAAGCGAATTTCACGAAACAGTAAATATAACATTCATTGATCAGACCCATCGCTCAAATACATATTAACAGATCGAAATATTAGATCTATCAAACCTTATAGGTTTCATTGCCGTATATAACCAAATCATATATCCACAACACATGATCTGATACCACATGTAAACTTCATCAAGGATTTTGAATAAATAATTTGGTGTATACGAAATACTTACTTGATGCGGAAGACGACATAATTAGTGATCTTGATCTTGATGATCACAAGAGACTTGATCGATTGTTAGGACTAAATTAGTTTCTCCCTCCTGTCCAATCTTAACGTAGCAGAAAAGTGATGGGATTATGACTGCGTACCCTAATAGGAGGAGAGAGAACTAATTTATATAGGGGTGTCTTTAAATCTGGTACGTCCATCAAATATCCAGATTAATGGCTTAGATTTGTTTGGCTATTAAATAAGGTCTGGCCCAATAGGATAATTAAATGTGAGCCCAATGCTTTCGGGCCACATATTCTTACAATTCTCATTGCCCAATTTCACAACACATCAATAACATAGAGATATAAACCACATCAATCATAATAACCTCGTAATAATAGTCAAAGCATCCCATTTTCAAAACCAACAAAACACAAGTTTTGAAAACAAGTAGCGGAAGCTGTTTTAGAACATAATTCATAAAACCAAATGACCACACTCGTTCGCCTTTGCTACGACCACCAGTCAACCTAAAAAAGATAGAAATAATGGGGGTGAGCAAACAACAAACTCGCCGCGGGAATTACCATGCAATATATTCAATATAATAACTAAAATTATAATCGCAACATAAACACAAATCACTACATCTACCTCTTATACAACCCTACGCTCATGTGTACACACATTAATCGCCGGCATATCCCATCGAATGGAGCTAAACCACCGACATTAACCATCGGCGGGAGAAATACTGGTGTAGATTAGTACCTATTATTATTATTATTATTATTATTATTATTATTATTATTATTATTATTATTATTATTATTATTATTATTATTAGGTGTTTTAGAGAATAAGTTAGGAATCTAATATTATTGTTTAATATATAGTAAGAGTTCTTGTCTTGTTGGACAAGTTAAGGTCTAGAGTTAGGAGCTTTGTTTAAAGGGCTTTTCTGCTTTGTTATGTGATAGTTGAGAATGAAATAAAAACTGATATCGTATTTTGGTGTTCTTGAGATTGCGATCTCATTAATATCGTCCCACTCGTACGCTTCCCTACATCAAATACTCATTAGACACATAATAAGAAAACCACCGACATTGACATCGGCGGGAGACCCTTATAGACTAGTACTTCACATGCATCATTGATTATAAAGTCAGACGATTATAGAGAATAAAGACATGGTAAAGTTTACCAACACCCGAGACAGAAAAATAACACAAAACAACTCGATAGGTTTTAAGGCTCGACTCCTCAGGGACCTACATTTGATCAAGAAAATTTTCATAAATAAATTATCTCGATAACTCAAAATTTTATTGAAAACTCTTACTTAATCATAAAGTAGAATTTGGAACTCTCGGTTTTAAAGAAAACTCGAAAAACTATTCTAAAAGGGTAAAATTGGATTCAACACAGAAAACAAGGTCAACGGCTCGACAAATAATCAAATGGATCGAAAAACAGACTTCGAGTTTGAAAACAGGGTGAACGGATCGCGCGGACCAGTGTCGGTTTGGCCTGACCGCTGGCAGCAGCTGCTGGTGGCTCGTCTGGGGCGTAATCCAGAATGCCAAATGGCAATATCTTCATTGATTTTCAGAGCATTGTTAATAGATACTAGCTGAGAGACATCCTTGAATGAACTGTAGTCACCATTGAGGCTGGATAAGTTGAAAGTAAAACTATCTTTAACTCTCTCTCTTAGTAGGGTCGATCCTGAAGTTTGATCCTTCACAAGACAACAATCAGGGTGAAACCCCAAATAGACTTTGTTATCAAGGGAAAATTGGGAGACACTCATGAGGTTTTTGGTGATTTCAGGCACAAAAAGAAAATTTCTCAAGATAAATTGAGATGAATAAGGTTCATTAGAGCTTAATATGGAACTGCCAATATGAGAGATGTTGAGATTCTTACCATTACCAATTTGCACCTTCTCAGTCCCTTGATATTATAAAGCCAAGCTCAAGTTGGATGGATCATATATCACATGGCTGCTTGCACCAGAATCAGGATACCAGTTGTTGTCTTCTTGAGGCTTCATATGAAGAAGATGGTATGATGGCAGTGGCATGAACAGTTAGGTTTTTGTTTCTCATTCGTTGGCTTTAATTGTTGTTGTTAGAGTAGCCATTGTTTCCTGTGTTAGGGACAAAGCTTTGATCAACTCGATGCCAACACTTATCAGCTGTGTGGCCGGTGTAGAAACACACTTGGCATCTTGGCTTACCTCTACCTCTTCCTCTGCCTGTGTTAGATCTGCCACCTCTTTGGTTGTTCTTTCCTCTTCCTCCATGGAAGCCACCTCTTCCCCTTCTTTGAGTCTGTTCAGTGTAGTTAATGCTTGGATTCGAGCCATCAAAGTTGCACTGAGGTGATTCTGAAGTGACTGCATCAATCCTATTCTCAAAGGTGAGCGGAAGTGATTGGGCTTCCCTAAGGGTGATGGCCTCTGGTTTTGACATGATAGAAATCATAATATGGTTATACTCTTGACCCAGGCCTGCCAAAACATGCATTACTTGTTCTTCTTCAGTTATCCTTTGAACTAAAGCAGCTAGGACATCACAGCAAGCTTTGATTTGATTGAGGTAGTCTCTCATGGTGGAGGCTACTTTTTTCATGGTTTACAGTATAAGCTTAAACTGCATAACCTTTGCTCTGGATTGGCTTGCAAATCCTACGTTGAGGCTTTCCCAGATCTTCTTTGATGTGGTGAGTCCAACCACGGTCACCAATATTGGCTAAGTCAAGGAAGAAAGGAGCCATGAGGCTAAGATTTGATCTTGCCTGACCCAAAATGTATGGTCTGGGTTGATGGATGGTTCTGTGGATTCACCTTGAAAGAATTCCTTTGGACCCTTTTTATTAGCAGAAATAAACTGAAATAAGCCGTAGCCTTTGATAGCAGCAAGTACTTGTTGGTGCTAAACAAGATAATCGATTTGAACAAGGTCTGGTAATTTGTTTATCCACCAAGCGATGTAAAACTGCAATAGCCGTTGTATTTTGTAATTCGTTTTTTACCTTGATATTAACAAATTAAACTCTAAACATACCTATAACAAATTTTAAAAATATATCTAATTAATTGTGATTGTTACTTATGATTATACTTTTTTATTAATTACTTAATCTTATAATAAAAAGCAAGTGTTGATAACTAGCTTTTCTTGATAAATAAATAGCACCACTATCATGATTAAGTCCAACAAGTAATAGACAAAAGGAGGATTCAGTTGCAGAAATATCCGACGTACACAATCTTCAGATAACATTGGAAATAACAAACAAACAAACAAGTCTTCAAACAAACCATTTTTTGCCTATGCCCAAAACAGAAAAAAAAAATAAAATAAAATAAAATAAAATAAAATAAAATAAAATAAAAAACCTTCAGTCAACATGAAAAATTGTCAGTCCCTTCTGATGAGAATAAATAAAAAAACCTAAAATTCAGTGATTAATAATTTCTTTTTCTGAAATATATAAAAGAAAGACCTTTTCTTTGTCTTTATATTTTTTTTTTTCCTTTCAATTTTTGCAGAAAAAATCAAAAAAGTGATGGGCTTTCTTGTAATTATCATTTTGAGAAGAAGCTGCAGCAGCAGCAGCAGCAAAATTATTCTTCTTCTCATTTCCAGAACTACCCTCACTCTCTATAACTCCACTTTTGTTGGCTTGTAGAATTCCAGTGGGGTGAAGTGGGAATAAATCCAGTGTCTCTTTGCCCACATGATTTTGGCAGCTCCCATGCATCAGCCTGTTGTACCTCCCCCCCTTCAAATCACCTGCTGCTGTAGACAGTTGTACATTTGGGTACTGCTGATAAAACCCTGCAGGCTCTGCTGATGTGTACCATGGGCTGCATAAACCTATATAATATATATATATATATGTATATCAATAAAATATATAATAGGAATATCAAAAGACAGTGACACATAGAAAATATGAAATAATGTGAAATAAATATTGGGAAATGCTACAGTCCCGTTAGGAAAGGGATTTGTAACCGTTAGATCATGATGTAACCGTCGTGGATAGTTGAATCTAATGGTTACAAACCCCGACAGAATGGTTCCGTAATGGGATAGTAGAATCTCCCATAAATAATAATGTTACCATTGTGATTTTGTGGGAGAAGTAGTGAAGGAGGGGTATTATAGAGAAAGCTGAAGTTGAGATAGTCCTGCTTCTGCTTCTGCCTCTGCCGGGCCTTGTGATTCTGGAACCAGTAAAAGACGTTCTTGCCCTCGATGTGGCCGTATTCCCTGAGGCGGGCGGTGATCTGCTGTATCTGTTCGGCAGTGGGAGTACGTACACCCTGCTTGTACAAGCTCTCCAGCATCTCTATCTGTTCCTTTGTTGGGTTCCATCGTGACCCTCCACCACCATTTTGATCACCACCGTCCATTAATTCCTATTTAATATTTTTTTTTTTTTATTTCTCAATGAAAATAATACTATATGTTTATATGAATATGTATAATTGGTTGGTGAAGATTGAAATTGTGATTTGCTTGGTTTTATAGGAGGAATGAGATGAGATGAGAGAGAGAGAGAGAGAGAGAGAGAGAGAGAGAGAGAGAGAGAGAGAGAGTTTTGTAGTTGGCCAATGATATGGTTGCATGAATATGCGTGAGAGGTGAGTATATTTACATACATTACATACAAAAGAAAGAGATAAACAAAGAGTCAAACAAGGAGAGAGAGAGAGAGAGAGAGAGAGAGAGAGAGAGAGAGAGAGAGAGAGAGAGAGAGAGAGAGTAATGGTGCATGCGTATAGGTTTTGGTGCAAAAACATCTCTGAAAACATGGAGGGAGGGAGGGAGGGTGGCTGAGATCGTAGGCCTGCCCATGCATTAAATGACGAAAAAGCCCCTACTTCATTGGGAATCAAAGACAGCAATGGTGGAAAATGGAAAGAATTAAATTATAAATTAATTTTGTGAGGGATTAATTAATTAATTATTACTAGTATTTTAAAATAAAGAGAGGCTGTGTGAATTGTGATTGGATTGGGTTAATATAATATAATATAGTATGTTGTAAGGAGTATAGGGCCTAGGCTTTGGAAATTGTACCCAAACAAAACTAGAGTTGATATACTTATCAGATTTGAGAGAGAGAGAGAGAGTTTTCAGAGAGAGAGAGAGAGAGAGAGAAAGAGATGAATTGATTAAGAGGGTGGTGAGTCAGTAGTACTACTCACTCTATTGATGCAAAAAGAGTCAAGGAATTTTGGGAAAAAAAGAATATTTAATTGCTTTGAGATTTGAGGCCTTGGTTTTTGATTTCCATACATATAAAACCTACTACTACTACTCTTTGCATCTAACCATTTACCAAAAGTCATATTATGTTGATGACATGTGTGCATACCCTATCTAGCTAGGTTTTTTGTTCTTCTAGAAATTAAATTTTAAAACACCAATTTTTGATTTAATCTTGTAAATAAAATAAATATATATTTAATTTTGTAAACTGATACTACAACATTAACAAAAATTCTTTGGAACCATCGGATGATTTTTTTGACACCTGCCCAAAGTGTATTTATTGTAGGACACGTCAATATACAATTTGTAAATAACTGAGGATGGCTCCATAAGTCGATCCATCCGATGGCTCGATAGCAAGAGCATTAAAAGGAAAACTGCATTTACCTCTATTTATTAAATTGGTGTCAAAGGTGACTGGTCTGGTCCACGCCACCAGCGGGTTTCGTCAAGATAAATTCGGACGGTGCTTTAAAACGCCAAACGGCCGGGGATGGCATGGGCTGGAGGCTTGCTACGCGATGACTGTAGCAGATGGATTTCCGGGTTTGTGAGGAATATCGAGTTTTGCTCGATATGGTTGCGGAGTTATGGGGTCTATTCCAGGGGTTAAATTTGACTTAGGACAAGGGGCATCGCATGGTTATAGCGGAAGTCGATAATAGTAGCGTAGCGAAGGTGGTGTTTCAGGATGTAATTCCGGCCGGGGTACATAGTAGCCTTATTCTAGGAGTTCAAGAATTGTTGGCAAGAGAATGGAGAGTAGAAGTTCGGCATATTTATCGAGAAGAGAATTTTACAGCAGATTATCTTGCGCCAATGGCCTCAACAATGCCTAGTGGGCTTCACATTCTTGAAGACCCTCCCACCGAGGTGAAACCGTGGTTAGAGCACGACATGTTACGAGTTTCTTACCCTCGTAATGTAGTCGTTTAAGGCATTCGCCTCCTATTCTGCACCAAAAGAAAAAAAAAAAAGAAAGAAAATCAAAATTCAAGTAGTTAAAGTATGCATATTTATAGAAAAAAATATTGTTGTCTAACTATTAAGTTGTCTAACAATAATGCAAAATGACATTTAAAATTAATAGGAAGTAGTAGTAATTTTTATCATGAAATTGATAATTAGGGTGGAAATTAAATTTGGTGCAAAATATAAGTGATTAGTATGATAGAGAGAATTAGAGTTATCAGTGCCAATTTTGAAATTTTGAGGAGGAGCATTGATTCATTTCTTGGCAAGTGATGATAGTTAATTTGTAGCTGTATCTTGTTGGGTAGCTGTTTACATAAATAAATGCTTCGTGCTCTTCGATAATCATAATCTTATTAACTTTTTCAATTACTTGTATCCAAAGAGGTACTCTACATTTACTTGTATGAAGTTCTTTTAGCGTGGATATTCGATCCTCAGCGGCCCTACCTAAAAGCCTGACACGTGTTGTTTATTTTGGTTTTTAATTATTATTACTAATACAACACTCGTGTAATACACGATTGATTAAATGTTTCACAAAAGGTAGAACTACAATAATCTATATAATAATATAAAAAATAAAGATAAAAAATAAAAAATAAAAATAAAAATAAATGTATGAGACAAATTGCTTCAAAATCTCGTGTATATAGCCAAAATCTCAAGTGGTAAGCAGTTTGATATCGTTTAAGCAAGGTCTCGGGTTCGAGTCCTTGTGGATGCAAAAAACTCTTGTTGGGAGACTCACCCACCATTGTCAGGTGTGCGACCCGGGTCGACCAACGGATTAGTCGGGGAATAGCTCCGGATACCGTGGCTGGCTACCAAAAAAAATAAAATAAAATAATCTAGATTAAGCCAAAATTGAAAAGATTCCAAATTTGTATTATGAAAATGTATAAATAAAATTAACATAAATATTTTATAGATATCACTTTTATACACACATATTGCATGCTTTAGACCACATTTAAGCATGATGTTTTGATAAATTAAGGAAAAAAGGGAAAGGGAAAGGATAAGAATCGTAACATATTTGAGGAAATAATTGATATTTGACGCAATGTTTTGGCAAGTAACATTGGAAAGCAAAAATAAAATAAATTTGAGGAGAAAATTAGAAAATAAAATAAAAAGTTAAAATATTTTTTATTTATTGTAAGTGGATATATTATAAAGAAAAAACAATATACAAAAATATATTTCTTACAAAAAGATTTTAAATATATTATCTTTAATGAATATTTTAATATAAAAAAATATGTATTTCCATAATATTTAAAATACACTTATGCAAGAATATTTTAGTCATTTAGTGTCACACTATGTAAGATTACAAAGAACTAAATAATTATATTAGTACAAGTGTTATTAAATTACCTAAGTTAGCTTAATAATATTTATGGAATGTCCGAGACTAAATTATTAATTTATTAATTATAAACATATCAATATTATTTATCCAAACCTAATTACGAAGCATGATTTTTCTCCAATTAGGATTGCGAAGCACCAGAAACAGCTACGTTGGCTCAACGCATTCGAGTATTATATATAGGAGGATTTAATTTTGAAATGTTTATTTTTTTATATAAAGGTCTTATTACAAAGGAAAAAAAAGTTTTTTGATCCTTTATCTGCAGGCCGTTTTCAATTTGGTGCCGTAAATGGACCGCTTTTGGAAATAGTCCCTTAAGTGAAAAAAAATTAGTTTTTTGGTCCTCCGACCGCCTACAGCAGGTCAGATTTACCGGCTGCCTACGTGGAAATTC